GGGTCTAAAGGAAAATTGGCATGGTTTGAATATTGTAAACTGCGTCACCGCCTACTTCAAGTGGCAATATTACTGTGGATCTTGGTTAGAAAAGCAGGCAATTTGTGCAAAGAATCAGCTTAGGAAGATTGTTGAAACTGGAGTTTTTAAAAATTGTCAGGTTGTTATTTGTTAAAGTTATTGTAAGATAAACAGAAAAAAACGAAATATGAGTTATATAAATAATAAATAAATACAATCTTATAGAGTCAAACGAAAAGAGCTGATTATCATGAACTAGCCGAGTTGGCCCTCATGTTCTTGGATCCAGAAATTAAACCTACCCACATTCAAAAGCCTTGTGCAGTTCATCATGCACGGTTTATGGCTAAGACTACCTTAAGATCATGCTTTTTCTTAATCAGACTAAGGAGCTTCTGAATATGAATATGGAAAAGATCACAGAGGTAGAGAGAATGGCAAACTTTATTTCAATCTTTTATGCTCCAAAGTTTTTGACTGCTGAAAAATCAGACACTTCAGCGATCCAGGTTATTTTAGAATTAAATAGATTACTTTTAATATGCTACTATATTTTATTAAAAATTTAGATTTTTTAAACTTTTTAAATCTTTTCAGGACCAACACTTCATTTGGCAGATGGAATACCTGGTGGAAATCAAACCAGCAACAGCAGTAGTTTTCTACAGATGGGGAAAACGTAGTTGGAGTTTAGATCCTACAACAGTTATCTTTGCCCTCACGAATACAGACAAATCTGTACCAAATAGCACAAAAGAAGAGATAGCAAAAAAGCTGTTGCAATATCCTAGACCCAAGGCCTATGATTTTGAAAGGAAAAATAATACTGGGTTTATAAGAAGGAAGAGTTTGTCTTGTTCGAAGAACCGCCTACCCTTGCAGATTATATTGGTTCTAAGTCTTGGCTAATTTTTGATACTTTTGAACATAATGAGCTGCAAGTCAAATGGCTTTTGTTCCTTTCTGCTGCATGGAAAGTTGACCTTGATTTCTTAGCTTTTAAAACTTTTGTTAGAAATTTGGCAGTTGTATATGATGTGGCAGAGAGAGAGCTGTAAAGTCAGTTCAAGAAGCATTGCAAATGACATATAACAAAAAGAAATTGCAAAAGACCACTTGCAATTGCTACCATCTTTCTCTCTGAGAATGTGTAGAATAAAGAAGTAAGGTTTTTTCTTCCTTACATTTTCTTCGGGTTAAGTCTGAAGACTTGTCCAGATACAAGTCAGGATTTGTAGACTAAAATTAGCAAAAATAATGAATTACTAACCATAAATAACAACTGACAGATAACTAAGTAATACCCTAACTTTTTGACAAATAAGGTGGACAAATTGCCACAATTTAAAAACAATAATAATGATATCAGTAACAAAAATGCACACAAAAATTATTTTAAAATAATTTTGTAGCTTGCAAAATTCATTTAAACTTTAAAATTACTAAAAAAGTTAAATGTACCTAATAATTTGGCCACCCACTATAAATAGATACATATACATTTGTATATATTTATAGTGGGTATATACATACATATACATATACAAATATATATATATATATATATATATATATATATATATATATATATATATATATATATATATATATATATATATATATATATATATATATATATATATATCAAACAGGAGTTTGATTTTGTCATGTAGCTTTGAAATCTGTGATTAATTTAACTTTGTAAACAAGAGTGATGAGATTTTTATCCAAAATAACTCCTTAACACCTTACTGATTTTAGGGAAATAATTATCTCTATTTATATGAAAATTTCATATAAATGGAGATAATTTAACTTTCTTATTAATTTTTTAATTTTTTGTTTTAAAGACTGCTGTTTAGACTAAGTCTCATTTAACTTAATGTTAAATGAGACTTTATTAGATTTTTTAAGTAAACAAGTTAGTGTCATCATTGAAACAATATAAATGATGTTGACACATTATGATAGCATGTGTTCATTCATTAATGCATATCAAAGAAAGAAGCAGCTTAAAGATTTATAAATTGAAAGATCTTAATCTGCACTGTTGTTACTATGAAAGAAATAAAAAATGGAAGTTCTCCATTTTTAGGCGCTACTTGGTTTTCTCCCCCCCCCCCCCCCCCCCGCCCAAGTTTTTATAATTGATTATGAAAGGATACATTCGACTGATTCAGAATCATATAAAAACATAGGTCTGAAAACTTTAGGAAAGTACTATAATTTGATATTAAAGTATAAAAAACCACATTAAAAACACTAATATTTGCCATCTTTTTCATACTAGGTTATGATTAAATTCTTTTTCAATAACATTAAAAAAGCCTGGTTTCTATTGACACTTTAAAACAAAACTGTTTGAAAATACAACATGCATTCTGATAGATCTTTGACCCTAACCCAAACCATGTACATTTAATTGTGCCAATCCCTATTTAGCAGTCGGTGTATGCACATTTATTTACGCTAATCCCTATATGTCAGTTGATGTTTGTACATCTTGAAACATGAATTAAGTTTAAATGATTAAATTTTTACGACAATAAAAATTGGATTGCATAATTAAAAAAATAATTTCTTAATTTTTGAAAACAGTGTTAAAATGTTTTCAAAAAAGATGGTGAAATATTAGCATTTTTAGTGTAATCTTTAACATCAAATTAGAGTACTTTGAATGAATTAAAACCCAAGATCAAATTAGAGTACTTTGATTTTAACATCAAATTAGAGTACTTTGAATAAATTAAAACCACAAAAATGGTTGGCTGAAGTGAGCTATCTGGAGTGAGAAACAGGCCCTATTTCAAGGTTCAATAACTTTTTAGGTTACACTCCAGATCTTATTGCTGTTACAATTCTGTATTCGTAAGCCTGATCAACCAAAAGATCATTTACTATTTGTCTCACAAAACAATAAATCGTTCACCTAAAATTACTTTTTCAAAGTTTTTGTTTGCATATTTTCATTAGAGGGGCTTCAGCATATTTTATTCCAATTGAACTCCTTGCGTAAAAACATATTTTCATGAGAAGCGAGTAGGATATACAGGAGCTCGTCATTCTGTTACTCGTCATTCAATTAAGTCTCATCCTTTTTCTGTTACTGTTCCTAAGTGCTCCAAAAACTCTTATTTGTCTAGTTTTTTTCCTTGAACATCAGTTCTTCGGAATTCACTTCCTTCATCTTGCTTTCCTGATTCATATAATTTGCAATCTTTCAAGTTGTCTGTCAATCGTTATCTTGCTCTACAATCTTCATCTTTTCTCTTCCAGTAACTTCCAACACTAATCAGTGGTTGCTTGCAGTCTTGTTGGAAGCGAAAATGTTAAAAAAAAAAAAAAAAGAGCACAAGAAATAAGTAGGGGTTTTTTGAGCACAAATAATGCAAAATATAACTTAGTTGAACTCACAAATTTTAAATAAAATTTATAAACTATTAGTTGTAAATTACATGTAAATTTTAATAAAGATATCAGTATTATTAATATTTGTTATAAATGTATTAGTATATAATATTCTGTTTATTTTAACTAAAGTGTTTGACTTATCATTAGTTTTAGAAAAGAAAGCGCACCTTACGATAACATTCACCTGCTAAAATATGAAAAAATCGACTAATTTTTCTAAAAGCAACCTTCACAAAAGCCCCCATTATCTGTTTATTTCAAACATTTTAACAAAATATAATATTTTCATAAAGTTCAACAGTTTATATTGAGTTTATCAAATAATTGAAAAGTTTTTTGTTTTTTAAATTTATAATTTTTTCTCTTTAATTATTCATATTTTAGTCATATTTTCGTTGAAAACTAAGCGCTTCCTCCAACAAGACATTTTATTTTTATTTATTCTTTCAGATTCAGATTCCCTTAAAAAATTCCCATAAAAATGAACTCCCTTTACTTTTAAAGTTTGACAGAAAATAAACAACACCTTTACAGTAACATTCTGTGTCTAAAATATGAAAAAAGTGCTTGATTTTTGTAAAATTACCCTTACCAAAAACTTCTTTTCCGTATTTATTTTTATGACTTTTTGAACTAAATAATCAATTTTCTTAAAATTTAAGATTAAAATTTTTTTTTTAATTATAGTTTTGCCTTGTTAATTAGTCACATTTTAGTCATTTTTCTGTTTAAAATTTTTTTTTGCAGATTTGGAATCTTCATAAAATTCTTCACCAAAAGTAACCTTGCCGTTTTTGAAATTGAAATATATAAATAAAATCGACACACCCTTTTTACATATAGTTCATGCAAAACTATCAAGATTATTATTAATTAATATTAGAAATTATCAAAGAAGTTTTTATTGTTGAAAGATATGTAGCATTTTATATATTTTTTTTCTGTTTATAGGTTATTTTCCCAAGCTCTAGCATAAATGGATTCAATTGTTGTTTGTTCAATTAAATACTCTTTTATTTCTATGATGCTAAGTGTAAATGTCAGTAAAAATATATCAATTTCTATAAAATCTTCAAATTCAAATTTAAAATAGTTTCTATTTAGTTTGCTGTAATACAAAGTTGTATGAATGCTTGTTAAAACTTTAGAAAAGCACTATAGAGCATATTCAACATGCAACATAAAGCATATCTGACTGTATATAAAAAATCTTTTAAATCTAGCATGATATCAGAATATTTAATAAGTTTTTTAAGCGATACATGACAAATATAGTAATTGAAAGCTTGATATTAATTATCGTAAAATTCAAAAAAGGCATCTAAGGATTAGGTGAAAATTAGGTGACATATTAGGTGATAAGCTTGCATATTTTAGATGGCAGATGCATATAAAGATGTAGATATGCATCTGCATCTACATCTGCCATTAAAAATATGATAAGTCAAAGCTGTTACAAAAACATTAATTATGAAAAACCAAATTACTCTAGTAATTCTTAAAACTAATAATACTTTTTCTTAACTGGTATATTTTTGAACAAAAAATTGATGTTATTAATTATATACCATCCATAGTCTCAAGTATTTTTATTTGGTCTTCAGCTTTAATTCTTTCTTCGTGGTTAAATGAAAAACTACCCAATAAAGATTCCACAGTAAGTTTTTTCAGAGCACATTTATCATTAATTTCAGTCGCCATTCTTATTTTTATGTTTCTATGCACACTTAATAACTATTATAAAATGCAGACCGATATTAGTAAAATTTAATTGCTATATAACAATTAAAAAACAATTATTTATACATTCCAGGAACTTAATCACACCGCATTTTATATTTAAAAACACGCGGTAAAAATTTATCTAATACCCCATTTACACCAATAAGTTTACTTATGTGTAAGTTTTAATGGAGGTAAATGTGAGGGCAAGGGACAACATAGTCATAAAATAAAAACGTATGATTTTAAAACCACCTTAATTCAGAGCAGAGCAACCGAGAGTCGTCACGCCACCTGGAACAACAGCTCTAATTGGTGCCCTTATTTATCAAAATTTCCCTATATAATTGATAAAGGACCTTTTTTTATGTACCTTCTTTTCATTTGGCGCTTCTTGAAAATCTGCCACCCGGAACAAACTGTCCCTTTCGCTCCCTTCTTCCCTCTCGACGGCTCTGATTCAGAGCTGTTTTCTCGTTACTTTTGAGCATCTTTTAAGGCAAGTCTCAGATTACTTTGTTTTTTTGTTTTTTTAATTTCGCTCACATTAAAATGTCACAGTACAATCATATGCCGTATATATGGTGTTACAATTTAAAAAATTCCAATACCAGTATAATTAAATAAGAAAAACACTCACATGTATAAATATAAGCATATATACACTTACAGATGTATAGATGCGCACATATATAATCTGCTAACAATTAAACATAAGCATTAAACATCTGAAAGAAGATCGCAAGATCTAGTTGTCAGAACCTTATAAAATACAAGCAAGCAAAATAAAGACAAGTATAACCTACAAAAAAATTAAGTAAAATTAAAAAATAAAAACGTAATAAAATCCAAGTCAAATAACAATTTTCAAGTATCTATGTATATTATCAAGTGAAAAAATACATTTTTTTAAAAAAGATAAAAGGAAATTGGTTGATCGAGATTCCGCAGAGCAATATTATTCCAAAGGTGGGGTCCACGATAAACAATGTAAAATTGATTAAATTTTGTGTGATAAAACGGCTCATTTAAAAAATTTATGTTTCTCATATCGTATTTGTTGTTAGGTTTGAGTTGGAAAATATTATTAAAAGCGGTTGGGGATAAATTATTTCTCTATAAATATACAAAACATAAAAATTTAAATACATTGAGTTCAAATAAATTTAATAACTTCATTTCAGTAAAAATAGGTTTTCTATGTGTAAAACGATCAGAACGTTTTTGACGACAATGAAGAAGTTTTAATTTACTTTAAACAGTACTCCCAAGCAGTGTTAGCATAATTTATTTAACTGTGGATAAAAGAGTAATAAAGTTGACAATTTTTATTAAAGTAATTACGAGCTTTATATAGAATCGTAATGTTTTTTGAAATTTTAGTAGTAACATAATTAATGTGTTGATTCCAGGAGATGTTTTTAACGAGATAAACCTCTAAGAATTTCGTAACGGAATCATTTTTTATTTCAGTTTCGTCTATATAAAGTTGTGGCAAGTTTGTTGGTAATAATCGCTTTTTTGCATACGAATGGAATAAAGTCCATTTGGTTTTATCAATATTTAAAGTTAGTTTATTACATTTAAATCAGTTTGATATATGCTTTAGTTCTTTATTCATAGTGGTAAAGAGTTCATATATATTACTACTTGAGTGGAATAGGTTGGTATCATCTGCGTATATGATACTTATAAGGTTAGAAGCTTTATTCAAATCATTTATATATTAAGAAAAGTAGGAGTCCGAGGATTGAACCTTGAGGTACACCGCATACGATATTAAGATAATTATTTTGATAACCGTCGTTACTAATTATAAATTGTTTTCTTTATGTTAAGTAGCTTCGAAACCATTTTAAAGCAGTACCTTTAATTCCATAATATTTAAGTTTTTGCAGTAAAATATAATGATCTACTGTGTCGAAAGCTTTTGATAGGTCAATGAAGATACCTAACAGGTACTGTGATTTTTCAAAAGATTTCGAGATTTCACGCACAAACTGGATTATTGAATGCTCCGTTGAGTTACCTTTTTTAAAGTTGAATTAATTGTTAGATAGTAATTTATTTTAGTTGAGATGTTTGTATATTCTATTAGACATTATTCTTTCTAATTTTTTTCTGAAACAGCGCCTAAATTAGTATAAACTGCTTTTTTCATAGCATACAAGTTGTTGACATTTTGATGAATTGCCATGCCATAATAATTTTGCATAAAGTTTATACATTTTTCTGTTAGGTTACTTTTTCTGTTAGGTTTTAAGTTTTAGTATTCACATTTTAACTGCAACAAATCTGTTAATCCTTTTCTTTTACACACACAAACATACATATACGCATATGTGTATATGCGTATATGTATGTATACGCACACATAAAAACATACATACATACATACATCCATCCATACATACATACATACATACATACATACATACATACATACATACATACATACATACATACATACATACATACATACATACATACATACATACATACATACATACATACATACATACATACATACATACATACATACATACATACATACATACATACATACATACATACATACATACATACATACATACATACATACATACATGTATGGATGGATTATGTATGTATGTATGTTTTAAAAAATAAACTAACTAAAATATCAAAATTTATTTTATTACCATAAAAGATATTTCACCGGCGAATTAGATGATTGTCTGCTCAGTAGAACTATTTCTTTTAAAATCAAACTGATTTTTATATAAAAAATTCTTCTCCTTAAAATAACTATATAAACTATTGTAAATAATTTTTTCTAAGACTTTTTAAAAATGTTGAGAAAATAGAGAGAGGTCGGTAGTTACATTTATTAGTTCTGTCTCTTATAGATTGGGATTATCTTGGCTATTTTTAACAGATCAGGAAAAACTCCTTGTGTACTGACGCATTTAGAACAGTATTCTTTTAAAACATATCCGCCATAATTACCGACTTGCTGAGAAAATAATTCGAGCGCTTAAGTTATTTGAATATTAAAGTGGCATAAAAAGACTGGGAAATAAGTACAGCCACATAGCAAAAAGTAATCTTGCCACGGGCTTCGAGTGTTGACGGCATACGACTTTACACTAAAAAGATATTATTTCAAAAAAATATATATATATTTAGTCAGCTTATGCCGTAAAATCAGGAAGTTTGTGGTTTAGCCAGAGTAGACACTAGATAATCGGTCTTGAGTCTCGATTTATCGTCTGATATCGATGTGATACCGTACAGTATCGGTATCGAAATCACGCGACACTGGTATCAAAAGTATCGTTAATGTTAGTGCCGTTTGGTATCGCTGCGATACCTTATAGTACCAATATCGAGATTACGCGATACTGGTATCGAAAGTATCGTTTTTGTTGGTATCGTTTGGTCTCGGTGCAATATCTTACAGTATCGATATCGAGATCACGCGGTACTTGTATCGAAAGTATCGGTTATTTTGGGATTGTTTGGTTTCGGTGCAATACTTTACAGTATCGATATCGAGGCACGCGATACAAGTATCAAAAATGATCGGTTATGTTGGTATTGTTTGGTACCGATAGTATCATTTGGTATTGCAACTCGGAACATCATGAAAAGATGCATTTTTTTTTCTATAAACGATTAGTAGTTCGAAATAGTAATTTCGTATAATAAATATGATGTATGTTATATACATATGACTCTTTTATTATAAAAGAAATTACTATTGTTTCATTTAATTTGATGTATAATTATTTATATATGATTTATACATTATATTATAATGTTTATATGATGCATACATATTCATTATATATATATATATACGTATATATATATATATATATATATATATATATATATATATATATATATATATATATATATATATATATATATATATATATATATATATATATATATATATATATATATGTATATATATGAGTGTGTGTGTGTGTATGTGCGCGCGCATTTGGCAATTCTTTACAGTTTTTTGCGTTAGACAAAAACCCTGTAATTTTTTTGAACTTTACTTGTTTATATATTCTTTTAAGGTTAAGCATGAAACTTGAGATTTTTTGCATTATTCAGTTTAAATCTAACTCTTCTCAACCATATATAGGAAGTACTATTTACTACTTTATATACTATTTATATGGCTTTACTTATATATTTTATTTTTCAAAGTTTCAGAAAAAATTTATATTCCAACTTGCTGAAATGAAAAAAAAATTTAGTAGATAGAACTGCACTGTTCTCTAATAATCCAGAAGAAGGTTTTAAACAACGTAAAAGTTCAAATAAACTTAATGTTTTGAAAAAAAAAATTCGCAAATGAAGATATCCAATACATCACTTTTGTATACATGAGTTTCATCTTAAAAGTTTGTATGTTATATATTATTACAATATTTATTTTAAATTGTCATAAACATTTTCAATGTTTCTTATACATTGTTTCTTTTTAGATAAAACAGTTATCATTAATTGGCGATGAAAATCTAGCTGATACAATTAAAAATATTTTGCTCTTGTAAGTAATTAGCAAAAGTTTGAATTTTAACATTTATGATTGACAGTAGAGCATTTATCTTCTTTTTTATATATGTAGACTGCCAACAGACACTATTTTGTCATAATACAATGTTGGCTTAATTAACTGATATATTTTGTATATTTTTTTTTCCATTTTTAAGCAATTTTCTTCTATTTATAATGCACTATCGATTATATTCTACATTACCTATTAGTTTTTAATTTGAAAAATGTAACTTTGTTTGAAAAAGTATTCTTATTTTTTGTAAAGTTATTAATTTATTTTAAATATATCAAATTACGCTTTATTTACATTGATTTCTTTTTATAACTTCCCTTGCCTAGATTAAGGCAAATCTAAAGTGTGTGTTGTAAATCATTGCATTTTTATATAACTTTTAAAAGAATGTCTTGGTAAAATTCAAACGTCTCTAGGACGTCTGAAAAAGACGTCTTTAAGTCTTTCATATGAGACCAGCCAGAGACGTCTCTAGAACGTCTGCAAAAAACGTCTCTAGAACGTCTTGAAAAAACGTCTCTAGAACGTCTT